TTTCATATGGATCCACAGTTATATGTATTGACAGCTATATGATTGATTCACAGTTATATTCACAGTTATATGATTCACAGTTACATGCATGAGATTTGATCTGTTCTAGTGGGGTGAAATATGAGCCTAGAGACATCAAACTTGCTACCAATCACAAGATCTCGTTGAGACCAACGCGCTGGATTTTCCGCAGGCTGGTAAAGACAGGGTTCACATCGACCACCCCCACCTTCATGAAAAACGGCAATTTTGGGGCGAAGTTTAAACGACGCCATACGATGAGGTATCTAAATACTCTCCTAGCTTACAAATGTCGTTGCATAGAAACGTATCGGTAAGCTCATAAAACATGATGGTACAGCTAAATCGTAAGCAACGGAATGATCCAGGCAGCCTTTGTGAGCTGCTGGCGCTGGTTCCTGGCTTATTACATCGAGCAGATACAGTGCCCAATCGAAGGCTTGCAAAGGCCGAATAGCCAACCGCACCATTCCGCCCACCAATGCCATGGACGGACAAAAACTCGCCACGTACTGAAAGTCCTTACATCCGGTCGGTGACTCGACTGACATTAGCTTGCAAACAGCGAAATAATTGAGTTGAGCCGCACGTGTTAGACTTCTGACATTAAAGCTGCGGATAAGTTTAAGCATGGCCTTCCGGGCCTGCGTTCCTTGAATACCAAGCGGTTCAAAGGAACTGCATCTGATCAGTGGCCTGCAACCGCCAGAAACTTCGACCAAGGTTATAGAAAACAGTGGTCAGCGATGCTCTCGGTGGTGTCGGCCCACCAGCTGACCAGCACCTCCGCGCCCCTGAAGGGATGCGGAACCCTTGCTCCCCACGGATCCCCACGAGATCCCTGCGGGCGACCAGTCGGTGTGACACCCGTAATTACCCGGCGATCTCCGAATGCGACCGATGATCCATCAACCAGTGAAAGATGAAAAGAGGGCTCACTCCATGCCCCTAGCGCACAAACTTTCAACAGGGTAATTTCGGGTGTCCTTATTAAGTGGCTAGACTAACTGCCTCAAGTGACATGACAGCGAATCGGTCGATGATGACGGAGTCAAGCTTGCTCACGCGCAGGCCAAGCGTATGAGATCCAAGCCAGCTGTCCTTCTTATTTGTATGGTAAGACGGCAAATTATTTGTGGCAAAACCGAACCAGGAAGTACACGGCACAAAAATTATTTCGTACATAGTCAAGAGGGTAGCATACGGGCAACAAAACTGGGTCCCAGTTGGGGCTTAGGCATCAGGCCGCCCGCACCCCATGCTGGCATGTGGCCAGCTGCCCATCTGCGGTCAGTTTGGATCTGAATCCACTCCGCTCAGCCTTGCTGCAGACTAGTTGCAGACTGTAAGATTAGCAGACTAGTAGTAGACTGTAAGAAATATCCAACCATGGAGAGCAAAGTACAAAAATTAATGCACTTGTATGATATATGTCAGCATATGGGCAGCCAATCTGGGTCCGACATGCAGCCCAAAGACCAGCCCTTCTGCAACCTACATGGACGTAAGCCCAGCTAGCCCATGCTTAGCCGGCCCATACGGACCTCAATCCAGCCAGCTGCCCCATGTTGCAAAATAATTGTACATGACATGGTAAAGCCTCAAAACAATAAAAACAATTGGCATACACATCAATACTACGTGTGTGGCAACTTTATTGCGCTTGTGATGAATGAGCACCCTATCTGGCCCCAGATTCAGCTTAGATACAAGCCCACCTACAGCCCATGTTGACATAGGCCCGCTTGCCCGCATATGGCCCATATGGATCCCACCAAAGCAAACACTTTCTCGTCGTGGGTTGTTTTTGACGTGATAAATTTCGACGGGGCAGCATAAGGCACCAACAGTTCTGGTGCGTGCGAAAATATGAAAGGATGTGGGCGCCTCATGTGGGACCCAGCTGGAGCCCAGTTGAAAGCCCACTTGCAGCCCATGCCCACAGTAGCCCAGTTGCCCCACGTTTAGCCCATGTAGGTCACATTTGGGAACGCTGGCTGGGGTTGGGCTTAACGGGCCCCTGCTAGAAAAGGGATGGAGGGCCCACCGTCCGGCGTTGGGGGCCCTGACTGGCACAGGACTCTTCCATTACATCAATGCACTCATCATAAGTTCTTGTTTCCTTTAACTGTCAAAGGGCCCCCACCAACGCAAGAGACCGTCTGTCATTGGGCTTCCGTCCCCGTCGCTGTTGAATAAACCTTCCCCCGACCGATTCGAGACTCCTTGTTGTCACAGAATGAATGCGCTGTTAGGCACTGCGGGCCCCTGAACGATACAGGAGCCCGACCGATGTAAATTGCGGGCATGGCCTTGTCCCTGCTTGGGAAATGAGCCCCCAGAGCTCAGACCAGCCCGGAGCTCATTGTTCGTTGTTCATGATCTCTGGCCGCTAGAGGGACGCTCTGTCTCAGCGGTCTCCATCGGTGCAAGAGATCATCTTACTGACTTTTGAGATCATAGCCCTTTGGGCGGGGGTCCTTAATGCGACCTACAGCCAGCCCTTCAAACCCTTTAGTCATCCCATCGGGCCCTTGATCTTTGGTCTCGAGAGACCCTTCGACCCCTCTTCGGGCCACCTCAAACACCACTCCGACCCGGGGCTACTTGCCGCCACAGGACCCCTGTTTGGCACTGTGACCCCTAAACGACACAGGACCCCCCCCCCCCTTGTGCCATGGACTCCAAACATTGCAAATCGCGGGCCCTGGCCTCGTTTCTACTTGAGAAATGGTTCTCAATGGCTCAGCGGACATGGAGCCGACTGTTCGGTGATAGTGGTCTCTGACCGACTAAGGCGCCCGCATTGTCTCAGTGGTTCCTAAAACGGTGCAAGAGGACCACTGACTGATATTTCAGGTCATGGCCCTCCGGGCCGTGATTCTTTATGTGACCTTCAGCCAGTCCTTCCGGCCCTTATGCCTTCCATACGGGCCTTTGATAGCGGTTCCGGTGGGTTGCCCGGTTCCCTCTTTGGGCCTCATCGAATACTTCCCTTGGTCGGCTCGGGAACCGTGTGGGCACAGGGCTCTCTGTTGGGCTCTGTAGGCCCCTGACAGACCAGGCTCTGACAAGGCCCCCGACCAGTGTGAATCACTGGTTCCGGCTTAAAAGCTGATTGGGAAGTGGGTCCTCAGGCCAATACCGACACGGAGTCGACTTTGTGGTACGGCGGTACCTGACCAACATATGGGGCCATTTCGACTCAAGGATCCCTGATCGGCACAAGGGGCTCTTTGACCGTTATTTGAGGGTCCGTCTTCGCAGGTCTGGGCCTCCGAATGAGACTCCGACCATCCCTTTATGCCCTTGAACCCTCCAATCGGGCCTTCGATTGTCGGATCGGATGGGCCCTCTAGGCTCCCCGGGCCTCCTCACACTGCCTCCGGCCGACCCGGGGCCCCCTGACAACACAGGGCCCCTGTTAGGCGCTATGGCACCCCGAGAAATGCAAATCGCTGGCTCCAGCCTTCCCCTGCTTGGGAAATGGGCCCTTAGGCCGCCACGGGGCCGACTGTACGCTACTGGTGGCGTCTGACCGAAATATAGGTCCTTATCGACTCAGTGGGCTCCTGATCAGCGCAGAGCTCTCTGGCTGCCATTTGAGTGCCCCGCCCTACGGGCAGGGGTCCCTGAATGAGATCCTCTGGCTGACTTTTCGGACCCTTCGAGCCCTCAAATCGGCCCATAATCGTAGGTTCCGAGGGGCCACAAAGACCCCTCGGAACCTAAGGGGGAGGCACGTGCCCCCTGTGTCCCCCGGCCTGTGCTACTGGATGACACCGAGATCTACTATCGTGTCCAAAGGCCCCCGACTGTGTCACCTGTACAGGTCGATCTCAACGCCCTGGCCAAGTGGTCAAAGGGGTGACTGCTCACATTTAATGCAACATAGTGCAAGGTCATCCATATCGCGAACTGCAATATGAGACTGACCTGCTTCTCGGACGGTGCCGAAATCGCGTCGAGCCCACCGAGAAGGACATCGGGATCTCGTGGATTAAAGGCCCTAGCTTCACGTGCAGACGGCGGAGGCGATCTCGAAGGCCAACTGAATGCTGACGGTCGTGAGGCGATCGTTTGCCAACATCGATGTTCACACGCTGCCATTCGAGATCTTAGTACGCCCGTACTCGGAGTACGACAATGTCATCTGGGGCCCCTTCGGCAGACTGGACCAGGAGCGGCTGGCGCGGGTTCAGCGACGACCTACGCGTCTTGTCCGTGAAGTGAGGCACCGGCCATGCCCTGAGAGGCTCAGACTCCCCCAACTGCGCTCGCTGTACTATCGTTGTCGCGGGGGAGGCATGGTTACAGTTTATCAGCTGTTTCACGGGGATGTGTCGCTGTTGGGAGAGGAGTTTGACAAGACACGACTCGGAGGTGACAAACAGACACCAATGGAAGCTAAGAAAACCGCAGGCTAGGACTCTAGTTCGTCGTAACTCGTTCAGCACGCGGGTCGTCAACGAATGGAACGCTCTTCCACACCCGGTCGCATCGCCAACCTCAGTTGAACAGTTCAGGTCTAGGCTTGATACGCACTGGGCTGACATCATACATAACGCTCCACACTGAGACTATCCTTAATTTGAGACTGGTTACCGAAACGGGAGAGTGACGAAACTGGGACAGACGGGCTTTGTGGCCTTTTTCGATCACCATAAGGTACAGAAAGATAAGTTTCTTTTCATCGGACATCAGGCGGTGAGAAGAATTCCTTGTACACTGCCAAACCATGCAGTTCCCTGAGAGACAACTTTAATGGTTCACGCAAGCCACGGCGGAGAAAACGAATGGAGAGGGACAGGGGGGGGAGGGGGTTAGAATAGAAAAGTAGTTCTGCATTTGCCACCTCACACAGAACACGAAGACGTTACGATGACGTCATTTCAGGGTTTTTCAGGACTTTGGTGACGTCATTGATGATATTCAATTACTGAGTCATTCGCACGCATTCGGAGGGCGTTTAGGGCAATTCCGGCGCGGTGCGGTCGTCGTGGTACTGCGGGGAGGAAGTGGCAGCGATCTCTGGTGGTGTGTGGCCAATTTTCCATCCAGGAAACAGCTGGGATGTTAATCAAAGAATAGTAAGTTGTTTTTTTGTTTGCTGTGTTCGGTGATGACCCGCGTTGTGATGTTTTGACTGTAATTGTTGTGCATGGTAAAAATAGGACAAAGAGGACTGTCCTTAATGTCTCGCACAAAATGATGTCCATCTGGATTGTACTTGATTACATCCATGTTTTGTCATGGGAGTTGTATGAATAAGACGACCCAAGAACTGAATTAAATGATCTTATATGTATGTGGATGTGTTTATGTGTTGGATGATAGCCATGTGGAGTGCATGTGACATCTATGGCACACATCTTCCAGGCTGAACTAGTCACAATATTTTTATGTTGATAATTTCTGCTACAAAAAGAATTGTGGGTTCTCAAACTAAGGTTGTTTTCTATTTTGAAAATACATTAGTAATATTTAGACTTCTGCACTGCCATCCGAACCTGCCTGTTGTGTAACTTGCCAAATGAAGGTTACACTAGCCATTGCCACTTTTGGTGACCTTATCCATGGTCCATGTTCCAGTCTGCAAACCACAAAAAACATGCTAACAAGATCTTTGAGGCAAAGAGAATTATGCTCACAAACATGATAAGTGAACTGGCTCATTTTGGGGCAGATTTTATTTGCACATGAAATCATGGTTTACCATCATATTTGATCATTCTCTGTGCATATTACCAACTTGTGCATCACTTGAGAACATTATGATGCTCTCAGTAATCTGTATCAGTGATTACTGCCCCTTTATTTGATAAACTGTCCCAAATTGGAAGCTATGTATGGTTATGCCCACCTGTGCATAGGCCACCACCAATGAAATCTCGTCAAAATCTGCCATGGTTTGCACACAAGCTCATGTTGGAGTATAAGCCTGTCAGAGGACTGGAGTATAAAGGGTGGCTTTCAGTAATTTTCAAAGATAAAGGAGGGTGAACTTGGACCAGCTTTTACACTACGAATGTGGGGAAGTCCTGTGGGTAGTCCCAATCAATATTAGGTGTTCAAATGTTTTGCCAAAGTTAGATTGTCATGAACTGCTCAGATGCTGACTAAAGAGCCACTGCTATGTTTTCTAAACTTCAGGATATCCTTGAAAATCACAAATAATGATGAGAAAAAACTTGACATAAACCAAATGTCTGATAGCCCAGGGTCATTGGTAACTTGGGACTTGCCCCAGCAATGCATGCTGCTACAACAACAGTTTTGTGTGCCTGGCCCCATTTAGTGCTAAAATAGCTTTGGAACTGCATACTTTTTTTAGCTATGTGGCATAGCATCTTTACTGATTTGCCTGTCAGTTTGTGTGGGCCAGGAGTGTGATATGTTTGACAGTGTTTGTTTGTTTTACAGTTACAGTTTTACAGTTTGGCAGCAACTCCCTAGCTTGGCTGTTGTAGAGTGCATTTTAACCATGTTCTGTTCAAAGAAAAGTGATGTGCAGTATAATCATAGTGAAGTGTCAATTAGGTCATAGTTTTTGTTCTTTATATGTCTTATCTTCCATTGCATTATTGCGTAATATGAATAATCTTCCTACCCTTTTTGGCAGCCATATTCTTTGCCAATATGCTCTGTCTATCTATATTATTCAATATTTATATGTTGATATTTGTGAAAAATTGAAGATTGGCATGCCTCATGAGATAATGCCCAAATAATAGAGGCTTCACATTTTACACAATGATGTCTCACTTCCATTTTGAAGCCAAGATCAAGTCTCAGTTTTGGACCATATTAGAAAGCATTTATAGGAAAGGGTGGATTAGGAGTTGGTTACTACATGGTGGCAAGCACCCTTGCAATGCTCCTATCCCTGAGTAACACCTAAAGAGCAAGCCAATATCAAGCAGCATATGAAGCACATAAGAAAACATCAGCATCCACCAACGTAAATAGCTCTGGCACATCAGCATCAAAGCACTAACATCAAGCACCTATAAAAGAATGCTCCTGCTCAGAATATTTCAGATCTCAGGCAGATTTCTGAATATTTCATATCCTTATGAAAACATTCATGAAATGATGTCATGCATGGCAACACGGAAATGACGTCACGCGTGACGACACGGAAATGAATGACATCACACCGTTGTAGCGTCCGTGTGCAGCGCATCGCAGAACACGTTGCTGGCCGGCCACGCGTCCTTGTCAATTCAACAAGCAAGATAACGATAAACACGCGCACTGGCGCGCCGCCTGCGAGCGCCGCGCGACCCGGGCGCCTGGCAATTGCCGGTGGCCAGCTGGCAGTTGCGAAAGCGGGGACCGATTGCGGCGCCAGCCGTGCTGAGAGCCGGCCAGGCCCAGTCCAGAGCCCGAACCGTCTGGCACCGTTAATGAACGGTGTCCTGCTGCACACGAATCACGATGTGTGACGTCACAGCCACGGACGGCATTGGCGCGGGCGTCTGCAGGAACTGACTGGACCGAAAAGCGCCGGGAATCTCGCCCTTCAGTCTCTTGTGACGTCACCGTTTCACGACCACCGCCACGGTGAAGGCGGCTGTGCGTCGCGGATGATGCGCGCTTGATCTTTCCTTGGCTACGACTCAACTGTCGGGGCTTTGAAGGCTAAGGCGATGTCGCCGTCGAACGGAAATGGACGTTCGCGGGCGTTGCGTGGATAAGGGCTGAATGCCCGTGTTTCTCGTCCGTTGCCGTAGCCGCAATTTTCGACCCGGGCTCTGGTCGCGGGTTTGAGCTATAATTCACACAATGCGAGTGGGGCAGATGTCGATTTGTCTTCTTTATTGGACGACTGGCGGTGGCGGTGGGACGGCGCAAAACTGGGGTGGCAGCTAACATACATCGTAATCCGAGCCAGTCACGTAACATGCCCCAGTAGCAATATCACATCAATATGGATCAGCGATATCTCACATACTGCTTGTGAGTGGTGGAGCCTCGTTGGCCTGGCTTGGGTTGCATATCGGTGGAATATAGATTATTTGTAATGTTATTTATTATGTAGACTCTATAGCTTCCATAGTAGGTGCGCACCCGCCCGTGCCGTTTAGGTAAGGGGAAGGTTCTTGTTCATGTATATGGAAGTCTTATATTAGAGAGTTGTGTCTGGAGCAGGAGAGGTAGGAGAACATTCTAACACGGGGAGGGTTCGTGGCGACGTCTTCAAGACAGACGCGGCTTCTATGCCTGACTCAGATGTTTGCTATCTCGGGGTAGTTCGTTATCCGATTAGATCTCTCCGTTCAACTCTGACATTCACGACGCCATGTGGTAGGCAGTTGCCGGGCATTTCAGCCACAGCGACGGCCTTTGCCAGTGCAGGACGCCCCGCACAACTCAGCGCTGCACTGTCTGTTGCGTCATGAATCAGTCGCGCGTTTTCCCGCGTCCCCATGGAAACCAGCTGGATTTAGAACCCGTGCTTGAAGTCCATTCCCAGTAACAGCAGTGCCCGGCGGCACGGTAGGGACCGCTGGCCGCTGCGGCGCAGCCGTGCAGGAGGTAGGCTCCTCGCGGCTGCGATCACGTGGTGTTTGCGAACAGAGTATCCTGGGCGTGCCAACTTTGCCGGCTGTCGCGGGGGGGGGGGGGGGGGGAATTCACTCGTGTTGAATGTTAGCTTGGTGAGATAGGCAAGATGAGATAGTCTGCCCGTCAGATGTGTGTTGTGTGCAGTTGTCAAGTCTTTTGCGGGCCAATACTTTTATCGCGAGAATCGGGGGGCGAGAGGGTCATCGGCGTAGAAGACAACGACGTTGTGTGACAGCAGTTGACGGTATCATTAAATAACTCCAACGGTATGATAAGTGTTGAGCTGCTTGGCGGTGTTTTGTCTTCACAGGATAGCGAATGGCGAGTATCGTGAATAATGCACAACGTTAGTTTGTGAGCGTTGTCACTTGCAAGACAAGCGGCAATGGGTTTGTCATGGCGTTTGGGGGCCCCCTTAGCGCGGTGGTTCTGGTCTGGGGACGTCCTCCGGGCCTGCCTGGCAGGGCCGGTTCAGATGCACCTTGATCTCAATCACCCCAGCTTCAGACCCCCGCTGTGGACACCCTCATCGGCGGTAATCAGCCGCCGGTGTGCGGGCAACTGCCGGTCGTGTGTGACCGCGCGCTTTCCGTTTCAGCCGCGTTGTGCTGCCTCTGACGGTGGAGGAGGTACGTGCCGTCCTGCCTCAGTGACGTCAGCTGGTGACGTCACTCCTCACATGTTCTCTGCCGACGGCCTGGGCGACGCCAGCGTCATGATAAGCACAGACCGGCGTGACCGGTGGTGCCCTGTGACCCGTCGGACCGCACTCAGACCTGCACTGGCCACCAGCGCTGCCGTTAGGGCGGGTACCGTCGTGCCACACTGTGACGTCAGTGGGTGACGTCACACCTCACATGTTCTCTGCCGACGGCCTGGGCGACGCCAGCGTCATGATAGCACAGACCGGCGCGTGTGACCGGTGGTGCCCTGTGACCCGTCGGACCGCACTCAGACCTGCACTGGCCACCGCTGCCGTCAGGGCGGGTACCGTCACGCCACGCTGTGATACGGCGCTGCAGTATATGACACTGATCACTCTCGTGCAAGGATACCAGGGCAGTAAAACACTTATGCCTAGAGGATCGTCAGCAAAGGTTCATTTCTGTTCCTTGGTGTATTTTGTGAACAATAGTTAATATTTCATGGTCATTGTCTACGAAATCCATGAAGCACAGAGCGCTTCAAGAAAACCATTTTCCCCATTTTAGCGTGGAAGCCTTCATTTGAAGGCAACATTTACGGGAAGCCAACCGCTACACCCTCATTGTAACTACATTGCGGCCCGAGCGGTCTGAAGACAACACTCACTGGTGCGCATGGAATTTGTGTTCACGCATGCGTTTACATGCGTGCGTGTGCGTGTGTTGGTGCGTACGTTTGTGCGTATCTGCGCGTGGGACTAAACATAAACAAGGCTGTTACACCACCGAAAGTGAAGTTCCTCCAGACCATGTCACATGCTGTCTAAAGTGTGTTTGATATCCATAACCACCTATCGCAGAATATTGGCCAGTTCATTAAGCACAATGAGACCGCGAATAAAACCTCAGATTTTCAAGGGAAGCGCGTACTTAACGTTAAACGGATAGAAAGTCTGTGATTAGTAATGAGATTACAATTTCCTTGGTGCAGGTCCTTGATGGAAAATGTTCCAGGACTGGTGTGTTTAACGCGCTCTGGCAAATTAACTGACTTGTCGCTTGAAGTGGGCTGCGGCTGCCACAAATTATTCCTACCAAGGGAAGGAGTCGCACCCGGTCGGACAAGCAACTGTGGCTTCTCTGGCATCCGCAAATTGAACCGGGCTCAGCTACCCACCCGGCTACAAGGCGTTTCACATTTAGAGTTTAGCATATGGAATGTATGCTACTAGTTGTCGCGTTCCTTGTCAAAGGTGTGCTGGCGGTTATAACGAGAGCCCCGCAGCCATATCCGCGAGGGTTGTGCGACGGACACTACGACGCACATCCTCGCTGACACGCCACGACGTACAGATGTATGACGTGCACCGACAGCGGTTATAACGAGAGCCCCGCAGCCATATCTGCGAGGGCGTGCGATGGACACTACGACGCACATCCTCGCTGATACACCACGACGCACAGATGTATGACGTGCACCGGCAGCGGTTATAACGAGAGCCCCGCAGCCATATCTGCGAGGGCGTGCGACGGACACTACGGCGCACATCCTCGCTGATACACCACGACGTATATATGTATGACGTGCACCGGCAGCGGTTATAACGAGAGCCCCGCAGCCATATCCGCGAGGGCGTGCGACGGACACTACGACGCTCATCCTCGCTGACACACCACGACGTGCAGATGTATGACGTGCACCGCCACGGATGTGGTTGCCGAATCTCATATTTGTTAGCACGCCGTTGAAAACAAAGCTTTCTCGGACACCGCGACGTGCAGATGTATGACGTGCACCGCCGCGGACGTGGTTCTCGGAGTCTTATAATTGTTAGCACGCCTTTGAAAACCAAGCTGTTTTGGAAGGCTTGTTGCTGTGCGTGAAGTTGAGCTCTGGTTTGTTTTGACCGGTGGCCGCGGAGCCAAAGGTCCGTCTGGTTTGTTTTGACGGGTGGCTGCGGAACCAAAGGTTTGTCTCTTTCCGCTGGTGCGTCTGTTTCCTTTGGCAGTGGGAACGGGCGGGTGGAGCTGCAGCTTGCTGTAAGCCGTGCGCAAGCGGATTTTCCAGAGGCGTTTCAGACATTGGTCTTGAAACGTTTGCTAGCAGGGATCCGCGGGAATAAATTCGGAGAATGAGGCGCCCGTCATCAGCTCCTCGCCACCAAGTTTCTGCCCCAGAAATGTTGAATATGCACTTCCCCTAAATGTTTTAGTATTTCCTGGCCTGATGTATGAATGCTGGCGGCAACGTCTCAAACACACCATAAATATATGACATGTCACGACCTAGAAGCATGTCCCTACATTCAGAGGTGGATTGGGGCGGTCACGTAGCATCCTGTATTTAGACACATGGGCATACACATACGCGCATACTAAAACGCACACGGACATATGGAAACGTATACGTATACACGCGCCCACGCACACACAGACACAAACCAATAATTGCTGCTGTGAGACCGCTCCAACAGGTCATTTACAATGAAGAAGTCGTGTTGCTTCCTGTGCGTTCCTGCGACAACGGAGGCTTTAACGTTTAAAAGCGTGCGAACGGTTTTCTCGAAACGCTCTGACCCATGCACTATGTGGATAACGGCCCGGGATCTTAGCAACTGTGGATAAATAAACTAAGGAACGGAAAAAGTCCCTCCTAGGCACCTCCTTACAAAAGGTATTAAGTGAACCGTCCTGATGGACACACCCACATGGCTTCACCGTAGTGACGTGGCAATCCCAGCCGGGCGGTGCACCGGCCATCTGATGTACGGTACGTCGCTGCCTCGGCAGTGTGGCAATCCCAGCCGGGCGGTGCACCGGCCATCTGATGTACGGTACGTCGCTGCCTCGGCAGTGTGGCAATCCCAGCCGGGCGGTGCGCCGGCCATCTGATGTACGGTACGTCGCTGCCTCGGCAGTGTGGCAATCCAGCCGGCCATCTGATGTACGGTACGTCGCTGCCTCGGCAGTGTGGCAATCCCAGCCGGGCGATGCGCCGGCCATCTGATGTACGGTACGTCGCTGCCTCGGCTGGTTTTCAGTCAGGTCTTAGCTGGGTTTTCGTGAGAAGCTTCTGCTGTATACCAGGCGCGCTGCTGTTCAGAGCCAGCGCTGAAGTCAGCTCATCAATTATAACAATGAAATACATCCCGCAACACCAAGGTCCATGATAGCCATGGGTGCGTTTGCGTGCGGTGATGGGGATGGTGATGCCAGTGTAAGTTATTGACGTGGACGCTCTGCTGTGCTTCCAGTATCAAGTGGGTCAACTGTATTCAGTCGCGCAAGCAAGCAAAAATGAAACAGGTGGCGGAGAAGGCATAGAAGTATTGAAAAATGAACCTTATGACAATGTGCCACTGTTAGGTGGCAAGTTTACAAAAGGACAATATACGTACAAAATTTACCACCTAGCTAGGTAAGTTTCGTTCTAGAATTATTCTGTTTTAACCCTTATATGTAGTTTTGGTAAAATGCACTTTTCTGTTTTGTGGCAAGTGTAAGGTACTATTTGGACTAGGTTAAATACTATATTTAACGTTTTGTGTACATATGTGGCGACACATTCGTAGGAAGCAATGCTTTCTTCAGTTTTACCAGACATTTCAATGCCCTCAATAATGCTCATGAAAGTGAATGGCGTGCGGAAAGTGCAGGACATTGTTCTGCACTCTGATTGACACGCCAGTGCTGTGTGTTTCAATGGTGTCTTCCGCTCGCAGCAAAGTCCCCAGCTTTATACGGCTCCTAGCGCCCAAAGGGTCGCTCGAGATACACGAGGAGGCCTGGAACGCGTACCCGTACTGCAAAACGGTGCTGACCGTGAGTACTGCGCGCCGCCGGTGCCGGTGGACGGTCCGCCGCCGGTGCCGGCTCACGAGAGGCGGGGGCCGGGGGTGCACCAGCACGGCGAACAGAAGTCATCTCGCGCTGTCTGAACATGGGCT